AGTCTTCCTGCCTCCAGTCTTCCTCATGTCTTCTTGGCCTATTTCCTGATTGTAGGAATACAAGTCACTACAGTAACCACAAATAGAGTATATGGTTGTCTGATTATCTGCCTGTACTAACATCTTTGTATACTAAGGATGCTGCTACCCCCATCTTTCCAGATGTTGCAGCGTTCTTCCCGCATGTGAGGGATAGGTAAAAGAATAATAGTAATGCAGATGCAGCATTGCTTGGCAATTGCCACCTCCTTGGACATGGTGACAGAGTGGACAATTTAGAAAAGAGGAGGTTCTAAGGGATAGTACATGTCTGTGAAATAATAAGGCATACATGTGAGAGTAAGTTTTCTGGTGTGGGAGGACCCAAGCAGCAGCTCAAGAACCTAAAAGACGTTAGGAAAACTTGGAAAGATAAAGCATTGATACCTACCAAAACAGAATGAATGAGCAAAGAAGACCAATATGGTAACAATATGGCATGAAGAAAAAGCAAACCATTAAAGAGCAATTTTAATTATGCAGAGTACAGATAGAGCACTTTACATCACTGAGGGTTCTGTAGTAAGGATTGAACAGTATTTAACTGACTTGAAGCTGATTGATTTTGTTAGGCAGTGAGACACATGTGGATGACGCTACCATATTCAAAGGAGCCAGATTCCAAAGGAAATTCACACGAGATAGTGTCATGCTTATGTACATAAACTGAGATACTTGAATATTGCTAAATTACGATGAAATCATTGAAAATGTCATAGCAAGAATCCTAAGGAGAAGTATTAACAGTTCTGCATTTCTAGTTCATATGGAAATGCTAATTCCAGTTATGAAAGTGAAGTACAGGCATGGCATTATTATGATTAAGACCTTACAACTGTAGAAATGTAGAGTGGTATATTAATAATATTATAGACATGTTTGGCATAAAATATAAGCAATGTAACTAAATAAGGTGTACATTCTAGGCTGCATCTGGATTTCCTGTGAGCCTGTTACTTTACAAAGCTAAACAGAAGAATAAACCTTTCATGCTTCTTAGGGTGCTCAGATGATAGCCAGTTTTTGTTTTTCCTACAGCATTTGTCCCTGGAGAGTGCCAGAATCTTCTAAAGCCTCTTTTAGATGGCAGTATGTTATTTTAAAGTAGTAGTTAAGATCATCTTACTTGGGTGATGATGGCTGTTTCACATGGCTAACAGCCATACTTGCCTCACAAATAACCTGAAAGTATGTTCATTTTTGCCAGACCTCTTGGAAGAATGCATATAGTGGTATACAGAAAAATAGCCTGAATAAATTTCAGTAACTCATCTATTTGTTTCTTTCTTCACATTTCTTAAGAAAGCAAACAGAGGAGTTAATATTGGAATAGATTTGGTGGAGTGACCATTAGGATGAGATATGTTACTATAGTGTGTGTGTGTGTGTGTGTGTGTGTGTGTGTGTGTGTGTATACATAAAATATTGGGTTTATTAGAATTTATTAGATCTCAGTGAGAGATCCTGGAGGTCAGAAAACCAGAAGGAATCCACAACAGAGTAAAAAGGGGAAAAACTCAGAGAGAAGATAAAGTTGAAATGGAAGTCAATGGCACAGCCACAAACAGATTTATTATTTTGTAAATGATGGGATAAGCCTCGTGCATGGGCTTGGGCAACCAGTAATTCCTCTATTCTCACATTCATCTCTTACAGAGTGCTGCCCCTGTGCCAAAAGTTCAGGCAGAAAGTTGTATTTGAAGTGCCTCCTGGATGTAAATGATAAATATGAAACAATTAACTTATATAATAAACTTCATGGTTTTGAAATTCTTCAAAAATCCAGTATAAGCTATAAATCTAAATTAGAGAATTTTTAAAATATAGTATTCTTTTTGTGTGTTAATTCCAGTGAACACAGTAAGTCACTTTAGTTTAACAAAAGTAGCCAATAAATGGATTTCAAGGAAAATATTTTTTAAAACATTTATTGCATTATATCATTTATTTTGATATAAAATTGTACTTACAATTTTATCCTCTTAGGTTAGACATGTGTATTCCATTTCTGATTATAATCATGATTAACTTATGTACTTTCCTCAGAGTGATTGTAGTGAAAAACTGCAGATTTGACTGATTTGCTATAAATTCCATATTCCTGTCACTTTGGTGTGGAAGATTTTGAAACCCAGTATGTTAATCTCTATGTCCCATGTTAGGATCAGATGAGTCCTACTGGTAATTTGAGATTACTTGTATAGATGTTAGTCAGCAACCCCTGTAAGGCATCTCCTGCAAAGCTTATGCTCCCACCCCACCATACTTCCTGCTTGCCCTGGAAAAACCTCTTTGTTTCTTAATTCAAAGTGTAACCTACTGATTCAAAAGGATATTGATACTCTTGGTATATCTGATCCTTCTGCTCAGAGTTTCTAGTTCTCATGGTGGGGGTAGCACACCATTTACCTGGCATCATCAATGGAAATAGATGTTCTAGTGGCCCCGGTCCTTTGGGTGTTTCTTGTCTTCCTCCTGACATTGGAGAAACACCAATTCCTGTAATAAGATGTTCTACCTAAGCCTATCCTTCATCTCTAAATGCTCAAAAGAAACCCATTGGGGATGTGTTAAACCTATTGGTGGGGTTAAGGGGATTGTTGGTGCTCTTTTCCCTGCAATCTTTGCCGAGAGTTGTGTAATCCATGCATTTCCATTTGGCATTTGAAGTTCATTTTCCCATTGATACTGGGAACCACAGAGTTATGGGTTTTGCAGTTCATCTGATCACTTGGGTTAATAATTTTTTTGTGGCAAAATGCATTCCAAGTTTTAAACAGTTGAGTTACAAATTAGTGGTGGAACATCACTGCCTTATTACCTAGGCACCATTGTAGTAGGAAACACTCAAAAAACACAAAATTTTCCTTACTTTCTTCACATAATCTGTTAGGGTGTATCTATCTTTCAAAGTGATAAAATTCAGCAGATTAATTCTTTGAATTCTGGAGGTACAAGGCAGGTGTCAGCCCGGTAAGTGCCTCGTTAAGGCTAGTACTCTGGTGGGACTTGATAAGAATTCCTAAACATATTCTTGCATCCACCCCATGCCCTTGTCTAATCCTTTGTGTAACTAAGAAGGTGGACTTATATGTGTGTATATATACTTAATATACCTGGAATATGTAGAAAAACATGTATAAGAATCTGGAAATACTTGAAGCTTTCACACAGGAGAAATGGTACCCTAAAGACAGGAGTAGGAAAGGTAACCACAGTTGGCTCTGCAGTATTTTCTACAGCTCGATTTTTGCATCATGTGAATGACTTAATGATTCAAATTAATAAAATTTAAATAGAAAAAAAAAAGAAAAAGAAAAAGTCCTTGGCTGGTCCACTCCTATCTTTTATCCTCAGCATCAGCACTGAGGGAGATAGCTAACAGTGTGAGGGTGTCACATGAGTGACTAACAGTGTTAGCCCCTAAGGTCCTTATCACTTGGCTTGACTCCCTGAGTGGAAGGAATGACAAATGATGGTAACCTGTCTGCCATTCATAGGAGTGTTGTCCGTAGCCTCAGTGTGGTCCGCAAATGAGAAGCTCTCTGATATACAAATCTCTTTCCCTACTTATGAACATTTTGAGAAGCAGGTGCCTGTAGCAAGCCAGGTAGCAAGAGCAGCATGACATCTAGACAGTAATCCTTAGTACCATTTGTCATGCGTGGGACTGAGTGAGGGTTTCCTGGAGAGTGAGGTTGATTTAGGGATTGGGGATCAGCTGCTGAGGCTGGCACTTGGAAAAGACAAACCAGGCATTCACACTCCAGACCACTCAATACCAGCATTGTCTCCAATCCATCTTTCATAAGGGGGCTCCAAGAAGGGGAGGGGGGTAAAGGAAGGAGAGAAAATAAACCTTTTTAATCGTGTAAGAGAAAGTGCAGGGGAGAGGAAAGAATGGAAAATATGTGAGCATAAGAAGCCAGTGGCCAGGAATATTAAGTTTTGAAACCAACTTTGGCTTCTAATCTTTGCCTCCCCTGGCAAGTTCCTCCTCTGTTTTACATTGCCCATCTCATCTTTGGGCACGGGTCCCCCTCCACTCCCCATGCTTTCTTATCCCTCTCTGCCTCACTCCCTTGTCTGTCAAGGCTTGCCTTCTGCTTGCCTTCTCTTTCCCGGGCTCCTTTTCCGTCCATCTCTCCCGTTTCCCTGTTCTTTCCCACACTCTTTCTCCCGTGCTTTCACAGCCTGAGTCCCTCTCCTTCTCCCCTTTCTCTAGCACAGTACATCCAAGCTCCATTCCCTCTTCTTAAGGAAATCAGCCAGGCCTCAGATGGAGCTGTTGTCCTGACAACCTAAAGGCGCATCGGGCTTTCACCGAGGCTGGCTGCTGCTGAAGGGGGCAGTTGTGCAAAGCGAGGGGCCAGGCCGGAGGGAGGGCGGAGGGGATGACGTGGAGGGGCTGTTGAAATCCGCGGGGGGCGGGGGAGGTGCAACAGAGGGAGGACTGGAGGGAGAAACAGGAAAGGGAGGAGGGGGGGGTGGAGGGAGACTCCGGGCTGCTGCCGCCGCTGTGTGGGTTTCTTTACACTCGCTGGCAGGCTGGGTGCCGGCTCCCTCGCCCGCCCGCCTGGGAAAGTGGGTTAGGGAGGGCAGGAGCTCAGCTCAGACGCTGGCAAAGGAGCATCCAGCCCCGGGCAGGCCCGAGAAGAGCACTTCCTTGGGCGGCTTTCTCCTCATCTTTCCTGGAGGGGTTTATATTTGTACTCTCTCCTTTTAAATTTTGTTCCTTTGACTTTTCCCCCTTCCGCTGGGGTTTTACGAGGGCTTTGTTAAGTCTTAGAGGGAGGACACCCTGAGCCAGGCAAAGAGAGAGGGAAAGTGGCGAGGTGCTCAGACTGGCCAAGCCCGTTCCATGGCCAAATTGATGAAAGCCGTGTTGCAAGCCCCTGTTGAGCAGCACACGCACCACACCCTCCAGAGTACGCGGGGACCTGCACCTCGGCGTGGCCACCATGGTCGGCAGAGTTCAGCCTGATCGGAAACAGTTGCCGCTGGTCCTACTGAGATTGCTCTGCCTTCTTCCCACAGGACTGTTCCTGTTCTGGCAGTGGTTACAACGGCTGTGTAACCTCACCGTGAGGCAGGGGGACACGGCCATCCTCAGGTAGGGCTTTCGGGCAACTTTTAGGCTGTGTGCGCGCGCGGGAGTGTGTGTGTGTGTGTGTGTGTGTGTGTGTGTGTGTGTGTGTTTCAACTCCAGCTTCTGATGCTGCAGGCTTGCGTGTGTGTGTGAGTGTGCATGTGCATGCACACGCACCTTTTACTGCATGGCCCAGGTATCTGCCAACAAATTTCAGAGGAATTCTGCTTCCAGTCAAGGACCAGCAATGTTGCTTAAATGTGTTTGGTTTCTCAGGACCTCAGTTCTCTTACCAAGAGAGCCTAACTTCGCCTATGGTGTTAGTGACGCTTGGGCAGTGTTCTTGCTTTTGTAATTTTAGATGCTTTGCACTTAAGAGTTTTGTTGGGGTTCCTTAACCAGGAAAGAGGAGTTGTTGAATTATGGCTCTCAGAGAGTGGTACACAGTACTGCATTCTCTGTGCTGTGTTCTGTGTGTGTGTGTGTGTGTGTGAAGACAGAGAGAGAGACAGAGAGAGAGAGAGAGAGAGGGAGAGAGAATATGCACATCAAGGCTCTCCCTCTGCCCCAGCAGTAGTCTGGACTGGAGACTTTCTGTAAGGATCTTCTAATTGACACCGAGAGCAATAAATCAATATTAGAACTTTGGTTGGTTACTGAGCCTTTTCTGGAAAGTGGATAGAAATCAACACATGAATGAAGAGAAGAAAAAGAAAAAGGAACTTGCCAAATTGCTGATTTTTAAGAATTGGAGTATGAAGCACAAAGGTTAGGCAGGAATTAACCTGGTGTAAAATGGGTATTTCAGATTGATTGTTGACCTTCCAGTCCTATCTCTGTGCAGCTGTGCCAAACTCTGAAATATAATTTAGGATTGAAATTTGGAAAGGAAGAGTCCCAGTCCTTGGGAGTTTGACCCCTATAAGGGACAGCAAGCTAGAGACACTCAAATGGAGCCTAGCCATCATTCTATTTCTAAAAAAGCATCAAGCTTCTTCTCCTATGTTCCTGTTCTCTCTGCCCCTCCTCTACCCCCTGCACATACCCCTTGTCCTTTTTCCTAGCTTTCTTAAATTTCTTTTAAGAAAGAAAGAAAGAAAGAAAGAAAGAAAGAAAGAAAGAAAGAAAGAAGACAAACAAAAACGTTTTCCTTGGAGACCCTTTAAAATCTCATTTTGTCCAAATGAAATGCCCCAGTGTCAGTCTGTCCATACAGTTAATATTGCTTGTTGTGGCAATAAAAACCAGTACACAATAGAAAATAAACCTATAATCTGTGTGCAAGGAGCTGATAGTGCATAAACCCTGGGGCATCAGGGAGCAGTTCTCCAGCAGAGCTGCCTAGAGCAGCAAAGTTTTCTTTCCATTTCTCAGAAATAAATTTGGTTGGCTGTCACAGTGTCCTGCTTTGGGATCTCCAGCCTTGTTATAGAGGAATGTGTATGTGTTGTCTGCATTGTGTTGTGTTGTGTGTGTGTGTGTGTGTGTGTGTGTTGCTGCAGATTGTAAAAACTAAGAAAATCCTAATGTGTGAGTGCTGCTTTCTTCGTTTCCTGAGCATTGGATGATTATGAATCCCAGAGATCCTACTATCCAAAGCAGATTTTCCCTACCAGCTTTCCAGCCCCGCAAACCTGCCTGTGTGATTTATCCACATGGAGTAATAAGATTTATAGAGTAATTTATCTGTTTGCAAAGGGATTTGGACATGATGCAGAAGATGTTTTTTGCAAACACATAAGCATGCCATCTCAACTGCTAACGTTGATACTCCCTAACGTCATTGACTCTTTACCAGGGAAGCATTCTATATAAATTTGTGCTATCCCCTGAAGGATTTGCTTTTGCTGATTATAAGACTGAATATGGGAAAAGTGAATATCCTGGATGTCTAAGTTTTTACTTAAATGTCCATGAACTTTGTTAAGTCAGCATCACCTATATCTTAAAGTATAGTTATCAAAGAGTTATCTATAGTTATCTATAGTTAACTACAGTTAAACTATAGTTATCAAAGAGTAAACATGTAAATGTTAATTCAGAGGTGAAAAGATATTCTTATATTTTCATATAAGCCTAGGCATAGAAGTCTGTGTTTTTGAGAGGCATCTTACTACCTAAATATCTGCATACGATGTCGATGTGTTTCTGTGTGCCTATGGATTAAAAGAAATGGAGTTTTTAAGTATTACACTTTAGTAGACATTATAGCATTGGAAATGGGGTGGTGAGAAATGAGAATAAATATAGAAACAGTTATTCACTGGGAAAGAGAAGATAGATAAACAGAGCATGCAGAGAAGTCACCTGTGGGAGTCAATTGCTTTTCCAGACCTCACCTAATATGCCCTCTTTTTTCTTTCTTTTGCCTTGGACAAGCCTTTTATTTCTGGGTTGGTGGAGCTCTATCAGAAGTAACTATGAAGAGAGTTTCCTTTGTTTTCTTAGGTGACCTTCTTCTAAATCTCTTTAACTGAGCCCAGTAAGCTTTGTGGGTCAGTTTCCTGGTGAAGAATGGTTTTCTTGCGTTCTGTTTACAAGTCTAGCCTGGGAAAGGCTTGCTTCTACTTTATTTGTGACATTTTACTGGGAGCATGAGCTTTTAGGGGAGGAGAGGAAGGAGAACTTGATTCATTGGAAGCCACAGTAGATGTTTGGCACTGAGAAACCAAAAAGGCAAGGAGAAAAAACAAAACAGAACAGAACAAAAAAAACCTCTCTCAGTGAATCTGTGGCCCTGAATAATCTGAAATGGCAATAGGACACAAGGAAGGTTTGTAATTCTGGTGGTCCAGTGACAGGAGTTTGGCTGCTTGTCCCTAAAACATTTACCTTTACTGCCTTACTTCCATGAAAAAAAAAAAAAAAAAAAAACAGTGTCTCTTTGGGGAATTGATGTTCATTTTTTGTATAATTATACAAAATAGGAGATGTATGCTAGTCTTGGGAGTCTTGCTCTGTAATTTCTATCATTTGAAAAAAAAAACACAATAAAAAACTATAGAATGAAGGTGACAAAACTAGGTGGAAAGAGCTATATTCTCACATAGACCTACCTAACCTTATTTTTTCCCAGATGAGAGTCTAGATTCATGAGGTCCTTTATGAGATCCTTTAAGAGCTGAAAGAAACCACACACCCTCTTTTATCTTAAAGGAATAGAATCAAAGTATCCGCAGACCAGTGGTGGCAGCAACAGTACAATGAGTTCCTTCCTAGATATTGAACCAGAAACTGCATTATTTGTCTGCACAGTAACGTGTAAGACATACCCATGGGACTTGTGAGAACATCTCAGGTATTTTTCTGAACAGAGTCCACCTGCCCCACTGTCACCCCCAACAAGTGTAAGAGTTCATCAATTACTGGACAAGTTTCTAGCACTGTTTTTTCTAACTTTCTACCCTTGCACACAGGCTCCTATAGAGATTCTCTCCCAGGTTAATCTTGGTAGGTTGAAACCATGCAGCTCTCCTGATAAGCCAAAGGAAAAATGGAAATAGAAAGTGTTCTAATCTAGCCTTTAAAGTTGAATACTTTTAATAACAGTAGCATATGTCTAGAAAGATAATAAAATATTTGATCCCAATATATCTATTCACAAGATAACTGTGAAAATTACATAAAAATACATATTTTGGACATATTGCATAAATGTATATATGATGAAATGCAAAGGTTTCAAACTATTGTGATTGTAAACATTTTAAATTTGAGGTATTACAGTTTTATTTATTTCATAATTCTGACCCTATTTGGTGTTTGCAAGATATTATAATGCTTTTCATGGTGATGACATTTTCCCCATTTAAATTAAATGTGCCTAATAAATGTTAACTGCAAGAAACCAAATATCTAAGTTTAATTAATTAATTTTTAATTTTTCAAAATTCTTGGTCTTTATTTCATTATTTGTTTCTGTACTAGGGGAAAAAGAGGATACAACACAAAAGATATAATTATTTGACCGTTCAATGTGAAACTTTTGTGCAAATTTCAAGGGAAAAATGGCTTCTCTTCTATAAGGCATCTGGAACGCCTACATTCACAAAGAAAGTATCAACACTCAAACATACTCCTGACACAATATGTGATTTTTCTATCACTTGAAATTCACTATTTGAAAAGAAACTTTGTGGGCATGGGTCTTTTGGGAAAACTTGTGACAATTTTGAAGTTTTCTTTCTCTGTGGCTTACTAAAGTTAATCAAAATTTATTGGTTCTTACTCATACTTTAAGAACCCTTCATTGCTCATTAAATCCTTTATCGAATATATTTGGTAAATAATAGAGTATAGCACACTACATATTGTCTAGGAATATGGCATATTAGATACATTTATTAATGTTGATATACCAGTAAATTATATTATTTGTTGTTACTTATGGACAGAGGAACAAAGTAGCTAAGTCTCATGTGACAAATGCAAATTGTGATAATTTGTGTTTCTATAAGTATGAAGCATGTAAGTATGTATTCACATAAACCCCACATATTAAGGTGATTTTTCTGTTCTATGTCATCTGTCTTTGAATAAATCATTTGTAGAGTTGTGCAGTGAACAACCAAAGGTTTCTGACTCTTCCACTAAATAAGTTGACGAGGGTTAAACATTTGTGTTTCTTAAAGCTGCTTATACATAACAGCAAACTCAGGCAAAAAGAGAATAAGTACATATTTTGCTGTAATCTTTGAAAATTCCAGGTACAGATATCTGTGACTCATGGGATAGGACATTACCTAAATGTGTGCTGGTCCCCCTTGCTGTCACCCCCAGCACTTCTCTTTAGGGCATTACTTATGGCTTACAGCCGTTTGCCCTGTTTTCAGAATGTCCTGCTCATTAGTGTATAAGACTCAGAAGACCTAGACTCTAATTTTGGATCTATCCTTGCATGCTTCATGACTTTGAACAAATCCCTTAAATATCTGAGCTTCAGTTTCATTTATAAAATGCTGAAACTGCCTATTTTAGTTACTCTAGGTACTGTACTGTTGTTTTAAGAAGCTCAGATGTGGTAA